AATAGATGTTCCCAAAACTACTACTACAAACCAAGATTTAAAGCCCACTGAAACTAATGAACCTACTGAACCTACTACTTCAGAAGAAGAGACACCAACTGAAAAACCAATTATTCCCACGAAATTAGAAACTGATGTTTCAGATACTACTACGGAATCAGAAAAAAATAAACATACTACGGAATCAGAAATAGATGTTCCCAAAACTACTACTACAAACCAAGATTTAAAGCCCACTGAAACTAATGAACCTACTGAACCTACTAATGATATAACAACGATACCTACCGATTTATCAACAGAATCACCAAAATCAACATCAATAAACGATGAAGATGAAGTACCCAGTACGGTAGAGGTTACCACGTCAACAGATGTCAATTCTCCCACTAATACAGATAAACCTAAAAATACACCTGAAGATACAAACACTGTCCCATCAATAATAAATCCTACATCAACTGGAGCTACTGAAACTACTGGAGTTACTGGAACTGCTGTTGAAATTACTACCAATACCAATACCAATACTCCTATATCAACTGGAACTACCGGAGCTACTGAAGCTACTGGAGTTATTACCAATACAGAACAGATCAATACCAGTTCTAACACAGGAAATACCAATACTAATACTATTCCGGAACAAACGAATATTAATACGGAACCAACCAATACTAATACTATTCCGGAACAAACGAATATTAATACGGAACCAACCAATACTAATACAGGATCTACCAATACTCCCACTATTACTGAAGATGAACCTACCGTTATTCCTGTTACCACTACAGAATCAGAATCAGAACCAGAAACCACAGGATCAGAATCGGAAACAACAGGAGAAATAACATCTGATATTCCATTTATTCCAAGTACAAGTGGATTTACCTTACCTACAGTACAACCAACACAAACCACTATTACTGAAATACCAACAGATATACCACAGGCTATTGTTATTCCCAATAGTCCTTCTGAAGTTCCTTGTAAGTTCAAAATTTATTTTCTATATAATATTTATTTATTTTATTTTATTTTTTTTATTTAGATTAATAATTAATCATCAATCCTTTTTTATATATTTATATCAGCTGGATATTCCAAAATACAAATAAAATTAAAAAATAATTTACCATGGGAAAATGTAGTAAATGATAGTACAATTCCTCCTTTCATAGCTCATTATTTACCAATAGAAATAGCCAAATGTATTGAAGACATGTCACCTGATGAAATAAAAGTAGTGATGTTAGAAGTAGCACCAGATAATGGAGTATTCGTAATATTAATTGTACCTGATAAATATTTAGCTGATATAACAGCAATATTATCGGATCCTACCAGTGAATTTTATACAAATGAAGATAATGAATTTAGAGATTTAGTGGATTATCAATATGATATACATCAAAATGATGATAATTTAAAATGTGAGTAGCTTTTATTTATTTTATTTATTTAATTTTATTTTTCATTTCATTTTATTTAATCAATTCTTTTGATTGATTGATTTTATTTATTCATTTATTTATTAATAATTAATTAATTAATTAATTAATTAATTTTATTCTCTCCTAAAAATTAATGATCATAATTTAAAATAGCCGGACCAAACACAAATGATCCCAAGAGTAGTAGTATTACTAATATTCCCACAGGAACAATTAAAAATGGTGATTTGACAAATACTGATGATTCACCCGGAAGTAGTAAAAAACCATTTGTCATTCTTGCGGTTATAGGATCAACTATACTTTATGTTGCATTCACAATATTGGTGATTAAAGCATATAAAAGAAGTAGAGCAAGAGCGGCTCAACAACAGGAAATGATACATACAAATAATAATGTATAAATAGTGTGAATAAATAATGATGCGAGTAAATAATATGAATGGTGATAAATAGTGTAGGTGAATGGGTGGTAAATAGTATGAAGTAATATAGCGTGTATAAAAAAAAATTTTTTTTATAGATATGGATTTATCATTATTATTATTATTTTGGTAAGAATTATTTTTTAAAATAATAGAATTTTTATATGTATATAATAAATATACATATATATATTTCCTTTTTTTTTTCCTTTAAAGATTTAATTATTATAATTGTTATTATTAGAAGTAATAATCAAAGTATTTGTAAAAGAATTCAATCAAATGTAAATTTATTAAGAAAGTAATAATTATTTATTAATTTTATTATTCCTTTTTTTTTTTGTACAATATAAATTTCTTATTAGTACAATATAATATGAGATTATGAATTTTGTTCAAACTTATAAATTTTTTAATTAAATAATTGTCAATCACATAAAAAGTTTTAAATATAATATAATATAATGATTGCTCTTTTAAAAAATACATAATAAATACATACATAATAAATACATAATAAATACATAATAAATACATAATAAATAACTCCTAGTTTTTAAATTTCTACATAAATTTCTACATTGTCAAATTCTAAAGATAAACTGTCTTAATCATTATGAATGATTAAATTTCCTTATCCCACTTACAATAGAATTATTTTATTATTTTACAAAAAAAAAAATATCTAAATCCTGTTAATAAATCGAGGAAATGAAAAATAAATAAATATTAGAGAATATTTGAGAAATATTCTTTTAATCCAATATCATATTAAAAAAATTCCCTAATACCAAGATGTCAAGCATCTTGCGTTCAAGAATCAAGAATTTATACCTGATGTCATCATTATTTTTCATTTGAAAACTTTAAATATAATTTTACACCTAGGAATTGTTTCAATTCATAAGTGGGCAATCTTTAAGTAGATGACCATTTTCTAAACAAGACGAGCAAACATAATATGGGCACTGAATTACTAAGTGCCTATTTGTCGCTAAACATTTAGGGCATTTATATCCATTTGGGGGTTTTGATATTTTTGTTTGTCCTATGAAACAATTCAATTAATTAAGCCAATTAATAAAAAACAACAACAAAAATAAAGTAATGGCAATAAATAATTATATATATTGAAAATTAAATATTGAAATATGCCAAAAATCAAGAAGTAAAACAATTTTTAAAAAAAAAGAAATTTCGAATATTACCAATATATTGATCAAGATTAGTATTAATTACTTCGAGACATGGCATAACATAATGTGATTTTCTTTTTCTTTCTTTAACATAATCTATTATAATTTTTAAATATTATTTAAATATTATATTTTAAATAATATATTTTTAAATAATGTATTTTAAATAATGTATAATTTAAATATTAAGGTTTAAATAATATATTTAAAAAAATATATTTAAATAATAGTAAATGTATTTAAAAATACAACATTAAATTCAATAAAAGATTTTTTTTTTACTTTGCACCATAATTCTGCTACATTTCTTATCAGGTTTTACCGAGTATATGAATTTGATATCGTCAACCTATAAAAAATATAACAAAAAAATAAAGTATATACAATTAATTTTATTTATTTATTTATTAATTTTACAAAAAATTCCATATAAGTTTTTTTTCATATTTTACATTTTTAGTTTGAGAATGTTTTCGTTTCAATGAAGCATCCATTGTTAAATGGAATAATAGAATGGAATTCGGGATAATAAAGAGTAAACGGGTAACATGGACAGTCTAATGACTTTTATTTGTTACTATAATAATCTTTATTGGAAGTGATTTTCTTAAATAATCTGAAGGAAAATAAAGATTTGAGTAAAAATATTGGACTCGAAAATATAAATATAAATAAACATGACAAAGCTTTTCTTCAAAAAATCATTCCTTATTTGATAATTTGTGTGACATTCCACATTTATCGTTAACAGCAAGCGTTAGAACAAATACAAATACCGACATTATGTTGTCAAATATGAATGCGTCATTAATCATTGTTGAAAAAAGATAATCATTTAAAACGTTAAATTCGTTCAGATAGTATTTTTTAAAAAACTCTCTTAAAAGCTAATCCGAATGGTACTTTATTAATAAAATAGTCAACATTGAAATGTAAGTATTAGAAAAGTCCGCACAAAAAAAAATGTGGCAACACGTGGAAAAAGGTTAAATAATTTTTTGCTCTTTGGGGAAATTTTTTTTTACATTTTTCATTTTACTTAAGCCAATTTTTAACCAAAATATTTCTTTTTTACTTTTTACTTTAATAAAGTTATCCAAAACTCAAATAATACATATGATCCTGTAGCTGCCACTATTATATTCCCTGAAAGGTAAAACACTTTAGTTTATCCTTATTATTCTCCTCATTAAAATCGGGGGTAATTTATTTATAATTCGAAAGAATAATAAATAAAAAGTAATTATAATTTTTAGATTTTTAATAATAAATTTGTTAAAATAAGTTAAAGAATAAATTTTACTGCATCCACTTAATTTCTTCATTCAATGGCTTATATTTTAACAGAAATACAATAAAACTTGGAAAAATTAAATTAAATTATTGAAATGTGTCTACCATGTAAAATTATATATATTATTAACTATTAGATTTTTAAAGAATCATTATATTAATCAATAAATCTATTAATTAATTTTGTAGTTATCATTTTTACAATTATATTTATTATTCTAACTTAATAACGTTACGTATCACAATAATTGATTTACATTTTGTATTACTTACGCGTGCTGGCGCGCTTAATAAATTATTTTTTTTTTCTCTTGCTCAAATTTATATGCGAACATGTCAGAACAAAAATCCGGGATTTGGTATATACGAGCTTTGATATTTATTGTAATAGACAAATATTGTAAAAAAAAAATCTTTTTTCTCTTTCTATTCATCACAAAACACTGGTGGTCCTTTTATCTCTCCAACAAAACATCCCTATACCATTACCGAGTGCTGACCACTTTTGAAAGTGGGTGTTAAACAATCAACATTATATCTCTCTCCTGTATGTCTCCATACTTTTATTTGTTGAGATTGGTTTCCAATTTCCATGCTAATTTCGTCCGAAAAAATTATGCGCGACCAATCATAGACAGATTTGTTCCTATTTTCTTCGCACCAACTAATCCATTTGTTTGCATTGTTTTCGGAAACAAATAGCTTTTTTGCTACAATATGGGAATGAATTCCAGCATTATGTAGTGTTGTTAAACTGCAGTTTCGGTTTAACTTGTTGATAATTTCGTTCAATGGTACATGACGTTTTTTTGTAGCTTTGTCTACAAGGGCATCTTTTTCATCATTATTGAGGGTGGGCGGCCATCCTGATCATAGAAAATTTCTATTTTCCCAGTTTCCTTGTACTTGGCAATAAACCTTCGTATTGTGCTAGGATCTCGTTCCATTTTTTTTTTTTTTTGCAATTTGGCTGGCATTTAAAGTTTCGTTATCTTGAGAAGTTAAGTGTAAAAATATTGTTACACCGGAAATCGGGCGTTATTTGTGACATCATATACGAAAATTGGAATTAGTTTAAATCAATAAAAGATTAGTAAAGAAATACTTAAAGTTTAAAAATAAGTGAAAATGTTAATAAGCTTAAAACACAGACCGCAAAATTAAAGTACGCGAATTATTTTAATGACTCTTATATTATATTCAATAATTATTACTGATAATTAACTTCATATACAATATAAATTTTTTATCCTAACGTCACAATGCACAACTAATTGCAAAAAAAAAAAGTATAAATGTGAAATGATAAAAGAATTGTTTAACGCATATATTTAGAATAAAGAGGAGGAAAAGTAGAAAAGACTGTAACAATAGTAATTATATTAGCATTGATTTGGCATTTATAGCATATATCGCTTTTAATTTACATGATGGTTAAAATTTAGCTCTTAATTTATAATAATATTAACGGAAATCTCTGATAATTATTTATTAATAAATAATAAAAATAATCAATATCAGATATAAAGACAAATAAACTTTATTGTTTTTGTACATAATAAATCATTTAATAATTTGAATTTAATTTTGAGCAATTCTTTATTTATAAAATAATTTTCAATACACAAATATCATGTCTCTAATTATAAAAATGTAGGTTGATGTTTTAATAACTTTAAATGCTTCATAATCTATAACAGAACTAAAACACCCCAATAAGTCCAAAATCTGTTTTTTTTTAAGAGGATATAAGACAGTCTCATTTTGATCTCTAACTCTACTAAGAATTGAATTTTGGATATTACCATCTTTAAATGAGAATACAAAACTTTATTGGTTTTCACTCAAATAGCCTTTGTTTTATCTTAAGCTATAGGATTAAACAATCTCGTTTGTTCCTTTAACTTCGATGATCACAGTTATATTAGCATATCATCGCAAATATCCCAAAAAGCCTTGGAATAAATCCATCTTTACTTCTTCGAAGAATTAATTGAACTATTTTCTGAAGAATAACTTGCCAATTGATTATCAATCCATTATGAAATAATTGCTGCATGTTCTTCATTGATTATAGTCAAAAATGTTCCATTTGTTCTTGTTATTAATTTAAATAATAATTAGCAAAGACAAAGATAAAAAAATAAATAAAATATCATTGAAAAATTATCTAGAATATTCGGAATATTATTTCATGTCAAATTGAATTCCATGTTCTTTAATAACTTTAAAATGTTCGCTATTTATTGCTGTAAATATTAATGGTGGTGATGAAAAATCTCTCGGGGTTAATGAACGTTTTATACGTAAATCTCCTAAGTTTTTTATTTCCTCCTCCTTTACAACACCACCCTTCAAAAAATTTTCTTAAACTACTAGCACTAAATATCCATGGATCTCTATAAACCATTCTAATTTTAATAGTTTCAAGTGATTCTGGTATATTCTCAGCCATTTGACATAATAATTTATTAGCATCAAATCCTTCTCTTCCACAATCAAATGAAAATCTTCTTAATCCATTAAAATTATTATTAAACATTACTATTATTTGTTCGCGACATAAATTATTGAGTAAATGAGGAAGCTAAGGAACAATCTGAATAAATTAATCCAGAACAATTTTCAATATAAAGTTCTTGAAGTGAAATAAATTGTCCAATTTGTGGTAATTTCCCTTCGAAATAATCAAAATTTACGTATCTCAAAACGAAACGCTTTAATGTTTCTTTTTGATTAATGATAGCTCGAAATAATAAATTATAATCTTGAAAATTATAAGAAATTGTGAGATTTTCTAACCGTTTTTGGACACTGATAAGTTTGCTAATAATTGCATTTGAGAATGTGTATCCAAAGACAAATCCATATTTAAAATATTATCGCAAATTAATGTTAATGATTCATATAATGGTCTAATTGGTTCATCATCATCTTCTGTCATCGAGGTAAAACTTTCTAATTTCTTAAATACTTTCGGGGCACAGGTAACTCGAGAATTGAAATGAATAGCAGACATTAATCTCTCTCAAAGAATAAAGAAGAATAATAAATGACAAAAATTTTATTTCTAGATCAAATGCAAAGCCACATGAAGATTCTTTGATCTTGGAGATAATTTCAATTAATAAAAAATTTACCATTGTGAAAACTCGTTAAACAATTTTTTACATCATTAATATTTTTAGATTTGAATTATCAAGTAGTGGTAAACAATATTATTAAGAAGACAAAGAAAAAGAAAGAAATAGCAATTAAAGAATATGAAAGGCATCTATAAGTGCTCATGTTCATATATGTATTTTGTTTATTTAAATTATGATGAATCAAAATTAAATTACAAGAGAAACGAAGCAATGAACATTGAATCACTTCATTGAAACACAGCAACAAAAGTTATGAGACTTTTATGTTTTTCCACTAACTAACAATTATCAATTATTCCATGCGTCTTGTTATTACTAAAATATTTTCTGAAATGATTTTTTATAAATTATTATTGAAGTTTTCAAGAGATGTGGGCTGTTTACATGTAAAAAAAATCGATAAAAAAGTATTCACCTATTTCTCCAACAAACCTTCATAAGACTTGAATTTATAGTTTTAAACATTTCCTCGTAACGAACTCTCTTTGGTTTTGGTCCACATATTTTCTTGTGGTTCAAAGATGTGAATTTTGTTCACGATTTCACAACGTATACGCTTTGGTTCAGAAGACTTTAAAATGCACTTCCTTTTAACGTTTTCTTGTTTTAAGAGATATTTTTAATTCTGATTTTTAAAATAAGTTAATTTCTCATAAATTCTCTTAGAAACCTAATGATCCACATCATACATACGCGCGTCACTAGAAGATAAACAATTTAAAATACCACGCTAGCATTTACCATAATTAGAATTTAGTTTACCGGAGCGAAAAAGCGGAAGCAGTATTTACCAACGTGCATTTGTCCAAATTATTCTACGGATGTAACAACGGATGCATAAGCATTTATAAAAACTAGATTTCATTCCTAAATCCAAAATTTACAAGAAATTTAAATCCTAAAAAAATTATCTTAAAAATGACATTTAAATTTTTAGAAAAGTTATCTCAAGACTTTTCAGAACTTCTTAATGATAAGGAAGAATATAATGTTATTTTCGAAGTTGATCAAGAACCAAATCAAAAAACCTTCACTGCGCACTCCATTATCTTACGTTATCGTTCATCTTATTTTAATAAAAAATTAACAAATACTGATAATAATAATATTATTAAAACTATTTTTAAACCGGATATTTCCGCTCAAATATTTGAAATTATTCTCAAGTAAGGCTTTATAATTTGTTTTTAATTTAATTATTATGCTTTAATACAAATATACTATGAATATGTTATGAAATGTTAAATTAAAATAATCTACAATTAATAATACAGATATATCTACGGCGGAATTATTGATACCGAAATTCTGGATACTAAAACTTTGTTTGAATTGATGATTGCTGCTAATAAGTTGGAGTTTGAGGAATTATCTATGAAATTAGAAAGTCATCTTATTGAATCCAAAGCTTCTTGGTTAAGAAATTATTTTTCCATTGTTTATCATTCAATTTTTAAACAGGACAAATTTAAAAATTTGGAAAAATTTTGTAATGATATTATTACAAAATATCCAAATCTTATTTTCGAATCTGCAGAATTCACTTCTCTTCATGAATTTTCTTTAATATCAATTTTAAAGCGAGATGACCTACAGATAAAAGAATCAGAAATTTGGGATTACTTAATTAAGTGGGGAACCGCACGGAATCCTACTTTACCCGAAAAATTGGATGAATGGTCCGACGAAAATTTTATGACTTTAAAAGCAACTCTACAACAATGCTTACCACTTGTTCGCTACTTTCATATTTCAAGTTCGGATTTTATGGATAAAGTCAAGCCATATAAGAAAATTCTTGATAAACAATTATGGAATGATTTGAAACAATACCTTTTGCTTCCAGATCGACCAGTAAAGTCTATTATTCTTCCTCCAAGATTGATTTTAACTCAAGAGTTACCAACCAGAGTAGATGAACCATTTTCAACTATAATTAATAAAGAACATACAGCAATGATTTCATCTTGGATTGATAAACAAACAACAAGTTATCTCTCAACAAATAATCCTTATGAATTTCAATTAATTCTTCGAGGAAGTAAAGATGGTTTTTCTCCAAGAAAGTTTTGGGATATTTGTGATGGGCAGGCTAATACAATTGTGGTCACTAAAGTTGAAGGAACAAACGAAATTATTGGTGGGTTTAATCCTTTGGTTTGGGATAAAACAAAAAATTCTTATATGAAAACAAATAAAAGTTTTATATTTTCATTTAAAGATGATAATATTCAAAATTCAATTCTTAGTAGAGTTAAAAATGAAAACAAAGCTTTTTTCTGTCCTCCTGATAAAGATTCTTTTGGTCCATATTTTGGAAATTCTGAATTCGTGTTGAAATCAGATGTATCTAATTTTACTCAAGATAAGAAAAATTGTTGTTGGAGTTCTGTTTTTAATAATTATGAAAAATCTATTAGAACAACTCATGGTGGATTTTCTATTATGGATTATGAAGTATTTAAAATTGTTAAAAAATCCATCTAAAATCTTATTTTTTACTTGTTTCAATTTATTATTTTCATAATAATAATAAAGAATCGCTTACAAATATACTCAATTATTAAATGATTTATCTAATGTAAAATACAACTAAATACAATTAAATTCGTTTATCTATATACTATATATCTGATATTTATTATACTGTATCGTTTATAAAGTAATTACAGTGAACCCTCTATAAATGTACCCTATAACTCCAGTCCCATCTACTAATAACACTAATAAAATTTCCCTCTATAAATGCATTCCCTCTATAAATGCATTCTCTCTATAAACGCACCCTAATGCTGATTCCCGGAGGGGGGTAAATTTAAAGAGGGTTCACTGTATATAATTATATTAATTAAAATTATTGGATATTACCAATTGCTACTGTGGTTTTTTCCATGTTCGATTAACATTAATTAAAATCAAATTGCAACTATTTTACATGGACTTATTCAGATCAACTATTTTATATACAGTAAGTTGAGAATTACAATTGACATGATTTGTAATGGACTGTAGATTTTTCAGTATTAAAAATAAAAGTAATATAAAATTATTTTATCCAGTATTTAAAACTCTCGATATTTTTCTTTTTGGTCGTGATGCTTAATTGATTTAATTTAATTTGCAATTTAATTTATTTTTAATAAAATTATTTTAATTTATTATTAATTGAAAATATTTTTGTATCATATATATACAATCTAACAATAATAATAAAAAATAAATTAATTAATTAAATTTCCCTTTCTCATTTTCTTCACATGATGAATAAGCATTATTTTGAACTTGACAGAATGTTTCATTATTATTAAAAAATTTTAAATATTATAAAATAAATGAATGCAATAAATATCTTCACAGTAGACTTTATTTCTAAATTAAAAAATAATATGTTCTGGCTCGATGGACGTAAATATCAATTAATCATAACAATTAGCAAATAGATATTTGTATTTAATTTTTAAAAAAATTTGATAAGATGAAATTTCCTAGATTTAACTAACTTTTCAAAAATATCAAAACATGAAGGACATTAGACATTAGAATTTAAATTAAAATTATTAATTATGCTATTTCTAAATTAATTATTATTAAATTAATTAAATTAATTATACTCGTACTTTAATATTTCGAAGTGTATACATGATCCATATCATATACCAGAAAGATATTAAAATTTTAAACAAGTTAAAATACTACACTAGCATTTAACTACATGATTATTACTAAATCATGTAAGTAGTAAAATAGTTTTTAATTTACAAAACAAAAAAAATGGACGCGTACATTTAAATAAATAATTATATGACACACAACACTGGATCAACAAACTAGAGCATCATTTGGTAAGAAAAAACTTTGAAGAATTTGCATGGGAGAAAAAAATTTCAAAATTCTATGATAAGATTATACGAATATCTCAAATATATGGAGTTATTCTAGAACTTTTTTAAAATTAACCATGTTCATATGCATTCAAATTGTAGAATCAATTTTTAGAAGGTATTTATTTAAATATATTATATTATTTATTTTATTCTATTTTAAAATATTCTAAAAAATTCTTTTATTAGCAAATTCTTTTTCCAGTCATACTTTTATACATAATTATTCAAAAAGTCCAAGAATTGAAGCTCAATATAAATCAAAAGGACAAATATATAATTCATATTATAATGTTCATCAAGAAATTTTTATATGCATAATATTATATAATTTTTATAGTCCATAATTTTTCAGAATTTTACAACACCTATGAAAATTTTTTGAAATTTTTTTGAAAAATTTTGAAACATAATTTTGATGTTGCATAAATTTACATAAAATTTTCAAATATTTTATGTAAAATACATGAATTTGTTGAAATGTAAATTTTATGTCAAAACGTAATTTTGTAAATTTACATAAACATACAAAAATATAAATATTTTTTCACACTTTATTATTCATAAATTTACATAAATCTTTTATTTACTATGCACACTTTTATTATTTATATATTTACATATAAATTTTGATTTTATTAATGTATTCATATTATATTATATCAGTTTTTAATGTATTCATATTATATTATATCAGTTTTTACATAATTTAATAATTATTTATTACTTATAATAAAAAAAATAATTCTCTCTTACAATACTTATAAAATAATATAAATATATAGTAATAACTAACAATATATCAAGATTATTATAATAAAAATATCACATTTTAATATTTTACATATAATTTTTCTAGCCAATCAAATTAATTATCAGAGGGGGAGTAGGGATAGACCTCTAGTAAAGAGAAATTAGCTAATTTCTGGCACACCCCTAAGAATTATCATTGTTAATTTACTTAAATATATACCTATGTAGTTTACTAATTATGGTAGAAAAAATATAAAAATATTCTAAATGTAAAATGATCAAAGAATTGTTTAACACATATTTAGGAATAAAGAAGAGGAAAAGTAGAAAGGTGTACTGTAATAATAATAATTATATTAGCATTAATTTGACATCTATAGCATAAGTCTGACGTTAGTTTCACAATATAAACTTTTAATAGTTGATTTATTAATTATTATTTATTATTAATAAAATGTAATTAAAAATAATCAATATTAGATATATAGGCAAATAAATTTTCCAATTATAAAATTTTTTTAACAACTTTAAATACTTTATAATAGAAAATTGTTCGTTAATATAATTAAAATACTAATTTTGATAAAAGTTAGATACATCTGATTTCATAAATCCAATAATCTCATTTATTCCTTTAACTTCGGTGATCACAATTATATTGGCATGTCCATCACAAATATCCAAAAAAGTTCTTGGAACAAAATCCATCTTTACTTCGAAGAATTAATTGAATTATTTCTGAAGAATAACCTGCCAAATGATTATCGATCCATTATGAAATAATTGCTGCATGTTCTTCATTGATTATAGTTGAAATGTTCCATTTGCTCTAATTATTAATTGAAAATAATAATTAAAAAAGATAAAAAAATAAATAAAATATCATTGAAAAATTATCTGGAATATTCAGAATATTATTTCATATCAAATTGAATTCCGTATTCTTTAATAACTTTAAAATGTTCGCTATTTATTGCTGTAAATTTTAATGGTGGTGATGAAAAATTTTTCGGGGTTAATGAACGTTTTATACGTAATCTCCTAAGTTTTTCATTTCCTCCTCCTTTACAACACCACCCTTCAAAAAATTTTCTTAAACTACTAGCACTAAATATCCATGGATCTCTATAAACCATTCTAATTTTAATAGTTTCAAGTGATTCTGGTATATTCTCAGCCATTTGACATAATAATTTATTAGCATCAAATCCTTCTCTTCCACAATCAAATGAAAATCTTCTTAATCCATTAAAATTATTATTAAACATTACTATTATTTGTTCGCGACATAAATTATTGAGTAAATGAGGAAGCTAAGGAACAATCTGAATAAATTAATCCAGAACAATTTTCAATATAAAGTTCTTGAAGTGAAATAAATTGTCCAATTTGTGGTAATTTCCCTTCGAAATAAT